ATTGCAACAAATAACATGGAATCATAGAATGGTTTGGGCTGGACAGGACCTAAAAAGCACCTAGTCCCACCCCCCCTGCCATAGGCAGGGACATCTCCTGCTAGACCAGGTTGATCAAAGCCCCATCCAGCCTGGCCTTGAACACTTCAGGGATGTGGCTGCTACCACCTCTCTGGGCAACCTGTTCCAGTGCCTCACCACCCTCACAGTGAAGAATTTCCTCCTAATTTCTGATCTAAATCTACCCTTTTCCAGTTTAAAGACATTACCCCTTGTCCTGTTACTCCATGGCCTTGTAAAAAGTCCCTTCCCAGCTTTCTTGTAGGCCCCTTTAGGTACTGGAAGACTACTCTAAGGTCTTCCTGAAGCCTTCTCTTCTCCATGCTGAACAAACCAAATTCTCTCAGCTTGTCTTCATAGCAGAGGTGCTCCATCTCTCTGATCATTGTTGTGGCACTCCTCTGGACTTGCTTCAACAGGTCCACGTCCTTCTTTTGTTGGGGGCTCCAGAGCTGGATGCAATACTCCAGGTGGGGCTTCACAACAGTACGAATCACCTTCCTCGACCTGCTGGTCGTGCTACTCTTGATGCAGCCCAGGATGCAGTTGGCTTTATGGGCTGCAAGCACACATTGCTGGGTCACGTTGAGCTTCGTCTTGAGCACCTCCCAAGTCCTTCTCTGCAGCCCTGCTGTCAAACCACTCATTGCCCAGCCTGTGTTTGTGCTTGGGATTGGCCTGACCTATGTGCAAGACCTTGCATTGGCCTTGAAAAACTGTGTGACATCATTAGTGGTTTTCATGCCATTTACTAAAATGTCTGGGAGGATCTCTTTTGTCTTTTAAATTAGAAAAAAAACAAAGTTTAAAAGTGGAGACTTTTTCCTCAGAGTGTGTTAAGGGCACTCAGAAGTAACTGAATATCCATGTTTTGTTTCTCAGATAATCACTAATCCAATTCCTAGCTGCGTTCTTTCCTTGAAAATTAAACAAGAGAGCATCATAAAACTGAGATGTTGCTTTGTCAGCAAAATACTTATACAAAGGTTTTCAGTTTCTGCCCATAAAAGTGAAGAAAAAAGAGATAGGAGATTTTGATTAAAACCTGCTGAATGTAGTTTGGACTTCTGGACTTTATTATTAAGCTATCTGGTCAAAAAGGGTAATGTGATGTGGTGAATTTCTGCTGTTGGATCAATTTAAGCACTTTCTGCTCTGCCAGAGCCTTAGGCCATGAATCTGGTTTTGTTTCTATCAGCTTTACTGTCGTGTTACTCTGTTGACTGACATAATTTCTGACTTACATTATCATAAGTGAGGTCAAGAATCACTTTCTTTGCCTTCAGGAAACAGAAGAGCCATTAGGGGGAATACAGGACTGTACTTGTTAAAACTACCCAGCGTTTGGGTTTGACTACAAGAAGACATAACAGTTTTCTGCAGGTGTTTCTGAAGAGTTAGCAGAATATTCATTGTCACACGCTCAGACATGAGGGTCTTAATCACAGTGTATGGCTCTCTCCACTGCCACAGGACATTTAATACGTTGGAAAAGGTGTCTCTGTTCCCCTGTAAAAGCCAAATTTGCTTTTACAGCCACTACCCATAATGCAGCAGGAGAATGGTGTTAATAACCATTTCACTGGGGCTGCAGAAATCTTTTGCACCTCTCCAGGGAAGAAGCAACTTTTTCTTCTGTAAGTGGCCAAAGTGTTACCTTTGGAAGCTTTCGCTCTTGGGATCCAAATGCCTTCTCACACTCGGAACCTGTGCTACCTAATTGTTCTCCAGGGAAGCAAAAATAGGTTGCTGGGTTGGGTTTGGGCTTGTAATTGTTTCTGGCTTTGTTTGAACGTCTGAAGGCTGTAGGTATGCACGGTACTCCAAGAAGAGAATGGCAGTCATGGTTATTTTATGGGAGCAGTGGGAACAATGAAGTCTCAAGGAAAATCTCAGGGAGGATCATACAAAGACTCCCTAGAACTGTATGTAGAGTTGGAAAGGTTTGGGAATGCTCCTCCCATAGATGTGGTGCAGCTGCTCTGCCCTGAAAACCATGAAGAGCTGCAAAGTAACACAAAATTATAGAATTATGAATCATTTAAGTTGGAAAAGACCATTAAGATCATAGAGTTCATAATGTTTTGCTGGGCCTACAAAACCTTTGGAAATGAGGAGCCTGTGGAAAAAAAAAAAAAGTAGCTTTTTGTTATAGAAAATGAAGTGGTCTAGTAAAGGGTTTACACTACACTGTAAGGATTTAGTCCAGTTAGAGGATGTATTTATGTCTTTACTAACCTTGGTATTGTTACTTTGCTCTCAGTTTGTTCAGAGGAAGCAAAGACTCAAAGGTCAGCAAGGAACAGTTTTGAAAAAACAAGTGGTGACTTTGTCTCCTCCAGACCTGGACAGAGGAATCAGATGGTGCCATTTTTAAATACTTCCCACATTATCTTACAGTTTCTTTTGCTCATTCTTCTCCCCTTTCCCTTTAAGAATTTAATTTCTTCTTTATGAAAGTTAGCTGATGCGTGTATATTTTTTTAATGTACTTTGATCTCAGACAAAATTTGATAGAATTATTACTATAATAATGCATCATGGCCTTGATCTTTAACACTAACCCAAGGCAGCTTACTTCCCATTGGGAAATGAATATCCAATGGGAAATGAAGCTGCCTGGCATGAGTAAGAATCAGGTCACTTGGTCTAAATTACTAATTATGAGGTATAGTACTTAGCTTTTGGATCCCTATTTTGGCCTATAAATTAACAAGTTCCAGATTTAATTAGTAGTAACTTCAGTTAGAGGCCTTAAGTATCAGTGTGACTTAGGTGCAACTCCATTCTTGTCAGAAGACACTCCTGATGGACAGCTACAAAGACTATGGAGTTCAGTGGTGTTCCTGTACCCTATAAATCAGAGAGTTGTTCAAGATAACCAGGTCTCTGAGCAGTGGACTCAGCACATGAGTCAAAGTCAGGCCCAGGCTTTGGGCTGCTGATGAGCTTGTGTTCACATCCCATGGAGGCAAACTATAAAGTACAGGTATTATTTCTTGTTGTTCCTAGCTGAAATCAGCTGAAATACTGCTTGTCATTAGGCTTTGGTTCCTATCTGAATATTCCTTTAAAATTAAAAAAAAATTAAAATACCTTTTAAAAGTTTGCCCCTTTACTTTTTTTCAGTAGTTTCAATGCAGCTGCTGTAGGACTGGAAAACAGGACTTTTGAGTTTTTTTCCCTAGGTCTTTCCCTGCTTCATTCTTGCCTCTACTCTCTTGAGCTAAAACTGGGACTTAGATTTAGTCATGGGCATCTACAGTTAGGAATTTCTGTAGCTGATCTGATTTACTGAGATTTGTTTAATAGTTCTCAGTACCTGTCAACCTCAGTGGCCAATCAAGCTGAGAAAATCTGGCTTTGTCTCAGTCTCTTCATCTTTTACAGGGTAATGTGAGGGCTCATCTACCTCTCAAGAAACTGATACTTTGTAATTATTAGCAATATACTCTGTGTGATTAAAAGTGGATATTTCCTTGGTATCTTTTCCTGAGGAAATGGGGGAATATATGGAAGAAATGAGGAAATCTTTCAGTGAGGTCAAAGATATCCAGCATGTTCTGCAGATTGTCTGTCAAGGTTGTGAATAGTGAGACTGCATTACACGGCATGCACAGACAGTTCTGCAAGCCATGTTCCTATTTAAAAACATTCAAGTGGAACAAACTTACTTTTTCATGTCACAACCAGGATCATATTCACGTTTCAGCAGCGGGAAGGAAAAGATAAAAGACTTAATTCAGCTTTCACCATGTTGGAGATTTTCTCTGGCTCCACCTCTGCCCCTTCCTCTGTCCTCATTCCCAGTTTTTTAACTCTGCCTGCAATGCAATTCAGTGCTTGGCAAGATAGCCCCAACTAAGGGTGAGTTAATGAGAACATCTGGCTAGGAATGAGTGATGATTCTCTAAGACCCACCCACTCAGCACATCTGGTGGTCATGGCCATGGATGGGGAACCTTGCAGAGTGTTAAGGCTTCTGCAAGGGAAGAGGATTTTGTCATCTGTGGCTAGATTTATTGAAACTACCCAAATCCGTATGGTTCTATAAAGGGTCTTTCATGTGAATGGGAGAAATGTCTATAAATAAGTGTACACAACACACACACACACACTTTTTTATGTAATTGCAGTATACTGTCAACGAGTAAGAATGTGGACTGCCTAAAAACTGTCCTTATAGATAATTAGTCCCAACGGTCCTAAACTGGTTAACCACCAAGGCACACTGCAAAGGACCTCTCTTTGGTAAGGGCTTTCTGAAGGAGCTGAACGTGCTTTCTCTCTGAAGGGAGGAGAGGATGAAAGAGTTTATGTGCTTGGTTGGCAGAGTTCCTTTTTGAAATGATTGTTCTAAAACTCCTGGATTATTTTTGTCCTTCTAATCATGAATTAACGTGTCCAGACACTTCTGTGAATATCTTTTTATCTCAATAATATATAAATCAATAAATACCAATGCACTGCTCTTGTTTTCCTTTTCCTTGCTGGTTAAAAAAAAAAAGAAAGAAAGAAAAAAATGGATTTTTCAGACAGCACAATGAATCATCAATGAAGTGAAAACATTGGGCAAATTCTCTTTTGTTTAAGAGAATGGCCTGTGCACAGTTCAGGCCAGCACATTTTTCATGGGATGCAAGGCAGCAGTTCAAAGAATTGGCAAGGAGCGGGTCCTGCATATTCATGAGTCTGGGCAAGGAGGTGAAGGTACAGGAGAAGGCAGAAAAGCAATGTGAGGATAGAGTGGAATGTGGAGCAAGTTACCACGGTATCCTATTTTACTGCTGTTTGACGTAAAACTCCTTTGGTTTTACACAACTGCTGGAATTGAATGGCAGCAGCTCAGGGCATAAATAATGAATGTGTCTTTTACACGTTAAGAGAGGAGGATCTGCACCTCCTCGCTGAGATAATGTGTCCCTCTCTTCTCTCCCCAGTCTCCAGCCTTCGTTCCTGAAGTCAGCCAAGATCTTATCAAACAGACAGAGCAGAAACTCAAAAACAGCCCCTGCAAAGAGCTGTTCTCTCACTGTACAAAGTAAGTATAACTCGACACCCAGGGATCACAGGGCTGCAGTCAGCAGCTTGCAAGGAATGTGTCAGGTAAAGAGACACTTCAGTCTGAACCTGAAGCAGGTATCTTTGGCTTATCCTGGAGGCAGAGCTGACAAGCAGTGAAGTCATTTCATCTGAACAAAATATAAAGAATATTTCCATGCCATTATATACACTCCACACAGGCACTTAGTGTTTCAGGTATTTGACAGTGTTCTAGCCAAGTAAACCAGCCATGGATTTCATGCTGTGTGAAAAGAGCTACAATGATAATGTATCCAAAGAAAACATCTCTGTTTCAAAGTGAATAAAAATTAAGTGGCTATACACTCCATTTAGACAGAGGAATGTGCAAACTTGCTCCACATGGCTTTTCCAGAAAATCTTCACCAGGAGAGTGGGGCTGGTTTAATGCTTTCTGTCTGCCTGTGGCGTTCAGATGGAGGTGCATTATTTCATCCTTTGTCTGGGAAAAGGCTTATCAGTTTTTGCAGCAGCGTCGCCGTTCATACTATGATGTGCTAAAGCTCCAGGTATGCAATCTGCCTCTGCAAACACTGACTGGAGAACGTTCACGCCAGTAGATCATAAACCAATAAAAATATGAAAAGGAGGGATCATCGCAAGCTGGCCCATGTGGTTTCTGGCTGAGCACAGTTTGTTTTCCCTGGATGATGTAATGGGGATTTGTAAAATTCGCTCCGCTGTCATTCATTGTTTTGACTCATTTCATTGACCTTTTCTGGTTTCAGTTATTCTTTGCGTTGGTAGGAGATGTGGGTTATTTCTGGCCTTCTCTTATAACATAAGCAGTTTCCTTGCATTGGCCTGGTGTCGTCTAGAGATGCTGGTATAACTCACACCACTTGTGTGTGCCAGTCCCAGTGACAAAGGCAGAGCTGTGCTCCACACAAACCTCCCTGATGCCTGTTTCCAGTTCTCAAATCGGTTTGAAAGCTGACAGTTCCCTCTAAAATGCACTTTGTTGTTGCCAAAGAGGGGAACTAAAAAGCAAACAACTGCTGAAAGGCAGCTATTGTTCTTTAAAATATGTGCAGCTTTTAATTAACTGAATGGACTGGGCTAGCGTTGGACACCACTTAATTCAGGCTCGTATTCACCGGCAGCCAGTCCCTCGGCTCAGCTGAAACAGATAAATGAGCCAGGTTTGGGACCTTGTTAATAAATATGCTGATCATTTCACATGGACTGAAACGGGGTCAAAAGGAAGTTTTAAAAACTTGCTGTTGGTATTTACCAAATGCACGGAATAATGTTAATTTTGGAAGAGTTCACAGTCAGACCGAAGAAGGGAGCCATACATACAAAAGTGAAGCTTGCTATCCTGCAGGAGCAGTAATGAGGATGAGTTTCAGACATCTCTTCATAGATAAGATCAGTCTGTGGGAGAAATGCACATAGAACTCTAACTTCTGCTTTGACCTTTGATATTTTGCCTGTCTGTGCTTTCCCCCCCTCCGATTTCCCCTATAATTTTGCTTTGAATTTGGACGTTTGTTAAAGCTTATTAAGACTTACATTTTGTTTTATTTTCTAAGCTTTGGGGAAACCGTATGATCTGTGTCAAATCAAAGCTAATGAACACAACAACAATTTGACTTCTGAATACTGAATATGTGCAATTACCTGTCTGTTCCAAATTGATGGTGCAAGAATTACCAAAAAGAATTCAAACAGCTGAGAAATTCCAAAAACTTATGAATAATAGCTCATGAACAGGGAGGAACTAAACTGGAGAGACACGTTATTCATGGTGAATTGTTTGCTCAGGTCTACAACTGCCCCAGGGTAAGATACAGATTATCCATTTGTGAAACAGAGTATTCCTTCAGAGAGGATTTCCTCATCCAGCAAAATCTGGAAATCATAGAATCACAGAATGGTTTGAGTTGGACAGGACCTTAAAGATAGTCTAGTTCCAACCCCCCTGCCATGGGCAGGGACACCTCCCACTGCACCAGGTTGCTCAAAGCCCCATCCAGCCTGGTCTTGAACATATCCAGTGTTGGGGCATCTACAGCCTTCTAGGCAACCTGTTCCAGTGACTCACTACCACCAAGTGAAAATAATCTTCCTAATTTCTGATCTAAATCTCCCCTCTTCTAGTTTGAAGCCATTACCTCTTGTCCTGTCTCTACAAGCTCTTGTAAGAAGTCCCTCCCCAGCTTCATTGTAGGCCCCCTTCATATACTGGAAGGCTGCAATAAGCTCTCCTCAGAGCCTTCTCTTTTCCAAGCTGAACAACCTCAACTCTCTCAGCCTGTCCTCACAGGAGAGGTGTTCCAGCCCACTGATCATTTTCATGGCCCTCCTCTGGACCTGCTCCAACAGGTCCACATCCTTCTTCTGTTGGGGGCTCCAGAGCTGGACACAGTACTGCAGGTACTCATGAGAGCACAGCAGAGGAGGAGAATCGCCTCCTTGACCTGCTGGCCATGCTTTTTTTGGTGCAGCCCAGGATACTGTTGGCTTTCTGGGCTGCTTTCATGCATTGTTGGCTCATGTTGAGCTTCTCATCAACCAGCACCCCCAAGTCTTTCCTCAGAACTGCTCTCAATCCACTCATTGCCCAGACTGTATTTGTATCTGGGGTTGCCCCAGCCTGTATGCCTGTATGCCCTTAGATACAGACACAAAAGTGTCTGTGTACTCCAAGACAGAAATACTAATTTTTTCTGGGTATTTTTCACCCAAAACCAAGTTTTGTCCCTGCCAGTGCTGCTAGCAGAGGTGGATACAGTAAGGAAGGCAAGAACCAAACCATCAAGTCAACAACCCCCTGTTAAACAATGTGACTTCCTTCATCCCAGGCAGCTCTCTCAGCTCAGTCCATCTTTTCTTAGCTCTGAACCCTGGCCTTTCTTATAGGATGGCTGTTGGTGCCTGGCTGCTTGTAGCCTGTCACATACTTATTTCTCACGTTTGCAGACTGGCCTTTTTATTCCTTTGATTATGCAAAAGACTTTGCATCCACTGCATGAGCCCCAAAATGCTTTTTCTTGGTCCAGAAACAAGCCAACATCCCTGTTCAGACTTTCCTCTGTTTTACTCTACAAAGAGCTGTCAGGAAAAGCCCTTTGGCTTTAATCATAGTTAGTACTTCTGTATAGCAGGAATTGAAATTGATTTTTTTGCTCAAAATGACACCTCTGATGGTCCCTCTTTGACAGAAATGGGCTTCAGCCAGAAATTTTCAATCCAGATGTAAACATCCCTCAAAATTACAGAAGCTCAGTTCCTGAGGGTGTTGTGTTAATTTACTAACAGGAGGAAGGACATTTGTTGTCTAGTGACTAACAGCCTTTGTAAAAGTCCATTGAAGCCAGTGGGAGATGCCCTGTTAATTTTTAGCAAGCATAACCAGTACACATTACTATTCAACGTGAATAAGCCCTCCTGTTATGAAATACATGGAACATATCACTTTTTTTGAAACCATGACTAAAATAAAGTACAAAATAAAGAAGTAAAATGATCCTACCATATCAGAAATCTGGATTTTTCTCCTCTTTGTTTTGTTTCGCTTTTGCTCCAAGTTCAGGATTATAAAATACTTATATATCCTTTTCATCTGAGATAGATCTGTCCTTGACCACCTCAGTGGGGAACCATTCCAAGAATACCTAAACAGCATGTACTTCGACAGGTTTCTCCAGTGGAAGTGGTTGGAAAGGTAAGTGGCACAACATTTTTTTTAAATTGAAAATTAATACAAAAGATGTATTGTCACTTTCCCTGCAAAGTCTGTAGAATACACTCAAAATCTGACAGCTGAGATAGTATGTTTGCCCCTTTTGCCTTCAAGATGAAGACAGTTTGGCCTTTCCTCATTGTTACCAATGCCTCATCCTAATGTTTGCATTTATGGCCCTCTCTGTGCAGCAGTTGTACTGTCTCTTCACTGTTCTCCTTCAGGAAGGTCCATCAAGACTCATTCCCTGTTTCCCTGAGCTGTACTCCAGGGAAGCTCTCCCAGAGAGCTCCAGAAGGCTTTCCTAATTTTAGCATTTGTTTCTAAGTGTTCATTGTTAGAAGGTTCAAGACAATTTAATGGTTTCAACTACAAGAAGATGCTTTATAGAAAAGTCATTATTATGTTGGCATTAGATTCAATTTAACCATGAGCTGAGTCTCCGGCTGTGACCATCCAACAAGCACAATTGGTGTCTGGGATATGAATGGTGCTCGTTGATCCTCCATGAGTGTACTCACACCCATAAATACTCCTCAGCAGCTCTCTCTCTCTTTAAGGACATCACACTTCTGAAGGTGACATGCTCCAGCAAGCAGCTTGGCATCTTTTTTGCACAGTACGCTTGTGCACAGCAAGTAAATAGGAAAAGACCCACAGCCTATAAAAAAAAACAAGAATCCAAATTTCCTGTGGTCTGAGAAACATCTGTGGCCAATTTCACCATAGGTCCTGTCACCATGAGCTACTCATGGCACAGCTTGAAGGACACATTGCACTTTTTTTATAACCTACATATAGCATCTCTAATGCTAAACATACAATACACATCCAGTCTCTGGCTTTTGCATTTGCAAACAATGTGCCCAAGCAAGAGTGAAACAGATACTGCTTGCTAGGGAAGTAATGAATAAACAGAAATCCACCCCAGAACACCAAGGAGCCAGTTTTGGCTTCTAAAGCTCAAGTGTTCAGCCATTTAATGGCATTAGGTGCATTAGACACATTAGGTATGGTTAAAGTACATGCAGCAACTTCAGTTGTCTTTCTGTTTAGCCATGCTCTGGATGTGGTGACTTTTTTTGTCTGGAAAAATTATTGCTATTATTAAATCACTGTCAACAGACAAAAATATGGCACATAGGTCCTCGCACTGTATTTATTGGCTAGACATTTCTGAGCACATTAAGGCAGCCCTAGTGGGTATTAATTGGCAAGGAAGGGGGCCCTTGCCTTCTCCTTGTCGGTGGGGGCTGTTGCAGACGTACGCCGCTGGGTAACAGTGACCTTGAGCTGAGAGGAGCCTCGGGTTCCACAAATGGAACTAATTATGGCAGATGAGTTAGGGCCAGACCCACGAGCGGTGTGTATCAGCGTGATGCCTCGGAGATCAAAGGAGCTGTGCCAGTTCCTCTCCCTGGAAAGCCACAGAGCTGCTGCACAAGAGGGAGGGGAAGCGGTGGGCAGAGAGGAGCCATCTCATGCCAAGACGTGCTCCACATGCCATTGCTACTGAATCCAGAATTTATTCTTCCATTTCAATTAAAAAAGCAGCAGATGATTCATCTCTAGCCAGGCTATTTCCTATCTATTTTCACATTTGGGGTAAGGAATTTTCTGAAATGCTTTGAGGATTTTTTTTTTCCATTCCCCCAACAAATGTGACATGCTATTGGATATTCCTGGCTTAAGGAGCTGGGAGAGCTCTTTTTAGGATTAGCAAAGAGATGCTAGCAGGACAGAGTGATCAATGGCTCCTTCTGACAGCCTGCTGGCTCCTATGGAGGAATCATAGAGTCCATTTACTCCAGGGACAATGCTGAGCATGGAGTTATCACTGCTAATTGTTGCTTTTAACCCCAGTTCCCTTTGCAGTGTCCTCATTGAGGCCTGAAAATAGCATCTATTCTTCTTCTAGTTTTGGCCCAATGCATGTTTTCCTTCCCCCACTTTTAAAAACAAGAACGAACACAAATGTAGCTATTCACTTTAATATTAATTCCTTATTGTCATCAACCTCATCATCAGCGTTGTGGGAAGAGGCACGTGGCTGTGATCCCTCTGCCGTCTGGCTGCCCGCCAGAGGAGAACAAAGCTGGGCAAAATATTCCTATAGACTGCAAATCTAATTGTAAAACTTCAGTGGTGGAGTGGTGGGTACAAAACTGGGATCTCTCTGAACCTAGACTTCTTCTTCTGTCACATTATAAAACTTTTAGGTTGAAAAAATATGTTAGATGTAGGGCTGGAGCCATTTTGGTGGAGCAGGATTTTATGGGAAGCCTGTGAGATCATCTAGTAATCATGTCCAGTGTTCATGAGGCAACATTCTGCCCTTTAGAAAGAAAGACAAATTTATTTAACCCTTAAGTTGGCCCTTGAAAGGAAAGAGATGCTTTTCTTCTCTTCTTGCCCATGGTGCTGTCCCAGGAGGCAGGTACCAGGTGGGGCCAGACAGGGTTGGAGCTCCGCTTCCTGCTCTCCACTTCTGCAAATGGCATCTCAGCCCATCTCTCCCCTTCCTGGGATTGTTTCTTTCCTTATTTTACATCAGTTTCCTGTCTTGTTTAAGGTCAAGACACCAGAAATATTTTCTAGTGGACTGAATTTTAGATCTCTTTTTCTCATCTTGAAGATAAAAAGCGACAAAGTGTTAGACCAGCACAAACCTAAAAAAAATCCTATATATCAAGGGAATTAAAATCTTGTTGGAATCTCTCAGGGCTCCTCTTTTCTTAACAAAGGCCAAAGCTAGAAACTGGAGATTCAGAACCCTCCCTGGTCCTAAGATGCTAGCAGAAATTATACTGGTGACTCACTAATGTGTTGTATTTTATTACAGCTTAATATGTTGGAATTGAAAAGTTCAAGCCATACATAGTATTGAAGTAATGTAATTACATAATTATATATTCTATTATATAATCTGATTACCTTGAAATAATGCGATTATATAATATTTATCTATTTTGCTTTTCAAAAGCATGCTCTGAAATTAATAAATCACAGAGAGTGCATTAAATGTAGTGTGTCTTTTTTTCTTGTTTTATTTCCTTTTCTTCCAGACAACCAGTAACGAAGAACACGTTTCGGCAGTACAGGGTACTGGGGAAAGGTGGCTTTGGGGAGGTGAGTAATTCTGAAAGTTTCTGTTAAGCCTCTGTCTTACTTCTCAGGCCCTGCAGGTTACAGCAGCCTGATGTGACTTTTTCATTCATTGGAACAGGCTGATTTTCATTAATTGCTGACAGTTCTACTTCATCTCTGATGACACTGTCATTTCAAAAGAACACTTTTGAGAGTGATTTTGTATCCCACTGGTGCACTGACAGTGAAATTAGGGTCACACCCTTAGTTGTGTTGTACTGGTGGCTCGAGGTCGCTGCCTAGGCAGCAGAGGAGGCGAGGATGAGCTTTAGCTGAGCAGATTACAACCTGCACAGACAAAAGGGTAGGAAGCAGGCGGAGGAAAGTGAAATAAGGAAACCAATATTACACAGCAGGTTTGGAAACAGTAGTTGGCTCCCCAGCTGCCCCCGCCTGTGCCTCAGTTGCTATGCTGCCGTCTCTCACCTTAAAAGGTCTGAATCAGATCAGCTGGAGGGGAGTAAAGTGCAGCCCAGACACAGTGTTTGCTTCGATTGACCCAGCAATTGTTCTCTTTCATCCGCAGGTCTGCGCGTGCCAAGTCCGAGCGACAGGGAAGATGTATGCCTGCAAGAGATTAGAGAAGAAGAGAATAAAAAAGAGGAAAGGCGAATCCATGGCACTAAATGAAAAGCAGATTTTAGAAAAAGTCAATAGTCAGTTTGTAGTGAGTATTGAACTCTCTAGCACTCGGCTCCCTGCTCACCTGCTGAGCGCTGTCCTTGTCAAATCTGATGTCTCTTCCAGCTCCTGCGACAGGAAAGGTGCCAGAAGCTGACTCCCTCCACTTTGCACCTCAGTCTTGCTCCATGCACCTTTGCTGAGTCTCATTCTACTCTCTGAGCTGTCAGAAATGCACCATCCAAGGTGCCTGTTCCTACCATGGGAACGTGATGCGTTTTACAGCCTTGACTTGCATCAGGGCTGCATCAGGCTGAGCTATTTTTATCCAGCGTGATTACCTGAATTCCCAGTGCCTGGGAGAGATGGGCTTGGAGGAGACTGAAGGAGATTCAACCCAAACAGATTGCCTACTAGAAGCATCCAGGCAGTGATGTGGAGCTGGTCTGCCTGACATAGGTCTCTCCTGAGTTGTGCCAGCTTCTGCATCTCTTTAAAAACTCACCTTCGATTTAAAAGAGAAAAGTGTGGTTGTCTCAGCATCTGTCATGTTCTTTATAGTTATTTTAGGAAACACTGTGAATACAACAGATGCAAGGTGTTTACTTACCTCTGGCAGAAGCAAAGACAATGGCATGTATTTTAAAATGCTGAGAAGCTTTTGACTCCTCTGATCATTCCTGGGGCACCCACCAGAGCCTGGCAGGGTGATGCTGACCTTCAGGTCTCAGTGGTGGTCCATTTGACTACCACAGAACCAGGCTACCTGGGTCTTCCTAGGAACCTACTGAGATTATCATTTTTTGACAGCTATCCAGCAAACCAGTGCAGTGAGAGGCGTAGAGTCCTTTGAATATTACGATTTCTCTTACATGGAGAAGTATGCTTGGAATGAATGTGTGTGTCCAGCCTGTGAAGCTATCCAAACATTAACCTTGGGGGTTTCTGATGATGAATAGGCTGGGTGTAAGAAATCAATCTGCCAAATCCTAACATCTGATTTTTCTGTACTTTTAAAATGTATGTTTGCTATTGTAATAAGGCCCCATATCAAATTCAGTCAATATATTTTTGTCCCTTTCTATAGAAAATCTTTAATGAAAAGTTAGTGCTTTTTTCTTGGCAGCTAACTGAACTGACACAACTATGCTACAAATGTTTTTCTAGGTCAATTTAGCCTATGCCTATGAAACAAAGGATGCACTGTGCTTAGTTCTGACCATAATGAACGGAGGCGACCTGAAGTTTCATATCTACAACATGGGAAATCCTGGCTTTGAGGAGGAAAGAGCTTTGTTTTATGCAGCAGAGATTCTTTGTGGCTTAGAAGACCTACACAGAGAAAATACTGTGTACAGGTAAGCACTCTCTAGAGTCGTAGGATGTCTTTTCTGGGTAGAAAAGAATTGCCTGCATCCTCCCTACTCATCGTAGTGCTGTACAGCTTGGATGCCTCAGGGCTTTGGCTGAAATTTTGCAGATCCCTGTACCAATACAGTGTAATTCAGTAATAATGGAAGGAAGCAGTTTCTTCACTAAATACATCCTGTCTAAATAATACAGAACTAACACAAAGCTCCCCAAACCCTACCTCACCGTGCACCATAAGAAAATCCTGGCAGTTCCTTTAAAGGGATTTCATTAAGAAATCTAGTTTCCAGTTGGTATAGAATGGAACTCATCCTGTTCAAGCCTCTGTTTTAATTAGTTAGATGGTATTAGGGGCTGCAGGATGTCAGACGTGGCCACACCACCCCTCCCTCCCGAGGGAGCACGGTTAGCACATGCGGGCGCTGGGGCACGGCCGTGCTCCGGGGTACACACCAGCCTGATGAGCTCGGTGGGATGGTGCTGGTGGCCGCAGCCTGCCAGCCGTGGGAGGAGGCACTTTCCCAGCCCGGCAAGGGAGGCGTCCTGCTGGCAGCATCCCAGGGGGGGCGGGTGCAGCCAGCGGGCAGGGCGCTGCCCGGCGCGGGGACGGGCAGATGCTTCAGCAAGGCCAGGCTGTAGAGGCTCAGCTTCCACACTGCCTCCCAGCTCTGGAGAAGTGCTCTTCCAGGGCATCACAAGGTTTACTTACTGGATAAGCAGGATGATTGCAGAGTTCTTGTGACTCCATGAGGATTTATGTTTTTTAATCAACGACCAGAGTAGTTGTAAACAACGTTTAATGTTTGTCTTCATCATCCCAGCTTGTGAAATCATTACTGCTGGCACTCACAGCAGAAGAGGGCTTGTAAATTGATGAAAGAACTTCCAAGGACAATGATTAATAGACAATAATAAGTTATTTTTAAAACCTAAGCCACGTTTTAAATCATTCAGTGTGCCCATGTGTAGTAAGCATTATGCATACACTTGTGAATATAGAAATGACAATATTGTTGTTCCTTGGGGGACATCTCTAGCAAACTGCCACTTGGTTGCCTCACTGTGACTCAGATCTTTCTAGCTGGCATAAGGAGGGCAGACAGATAACATGCTGATTTAGTTGGCACTGGCCCAAGGAGGAGATTTTTTTCCCAAGGAACAAAATGGAATTAGGTGTTCAATGTCAACTGAAAAATCAAATAATGAGTGACATCTCTGGTTTCCTTTTTCTTTAAAACACATCCTACTACATTCAAAAAAAAAAGGTTTAGGAGGTATTACAGTGTTTCTTTAAAAAGTACTAGATCACAAGCATACTTCAGTGATGAACATGACTGGTGCATTCATAATGTGGCTGGTACAATGCTGCACTGATGCCACTTTCTAATAAAACAAATCAGACCTGGCTACCTAAAATAGCACATGGCTCTGAGAGAAGTAGCATCCTACTTCCTTAAGCAGTTGTTTTCATGTTAACTCTTAGAAGAGCTCCTAGTTTACACCTCAGGTGGCACATTCATTTTAGCAATGAATGATATTATATTCTTGTATGTGACATTTTGTAGCAGTATTTTAGAAGCATCTGCAGAGACCCCTAAATTGTAATACATGTTTTGGGACCCATGAGAAGTGCTATATAGTCAATAAAATACAGCAGCTAAATGCTACCACTTCCTCAAGGTGAATAATTCATCTCAAAACGCTTTTTCCTCAGACTTAATTTCTTTTTCTATGAACAAAATGCTTCTGAGCAAACCACAGCACTGGAAAATACATCCCCGTCTCATGGGCTGGTGACGCAACTGTGGACGTGGCCTGAGAGAACAACCAGGCTCAGAGTCACATTTATCTGATTGAGAATTCTCTGGCCAACTATGGCACTTATGTTGCATTTCTCAACTGCATCATGTTAGTAAAGGTCAACGGGTCCATTTTTCATGGAAAGCAAACATAAAAAGCTGCTGGTTCTCTTCAAATTATATATATATTTAAAAAAATAAT